AGGTCTATGTCCATGTCAATTTCCTCATCACTCTCGTTGCCGTGCTGCAATCGCCTCCTCGGCTGGTCCTGGTTTTGCTTTGGCATGTCCTGGCTCTGCATATACTCCAGGACAATGCGTGTGGTGTTCATAGTGCTCATAATTGCCGCGGTGATCTGAGCGGGCTCCATGATCCCAGTGCTAGCTATGGCGCCTGGTCTGAAAAAAGGCGCGAAACTAGTATCTGACGGACCAGGGGAAGGAGGGAGGGAGGGAGGGGCGAGTGACGACATGGCGTACAGGTACAGGGAATTAAAATCAAGAAAGGTGGCTGTGCATCAGGGAGAAACACAAACAACTGTCACACAGAATGCCCCCCCCCCAAAGATTGAACTCAAAACCCTGGGTTTAGCAGGCCGTTGATTTCATGGAGGGAGGGAGAAGCTAATGAATACAGAACAAATCTATTTTTTACATCTTAAGCTGGCAGCCAACGGTGCAGCATAACTGATAGCCACTGCAGTACGATGACGATGGATACCAGTCGTAATATACCATCTTCTACCAAAAGGCAAGGGGCTGCTGCTGTGTAGCAATGCAGCCCCACGTCTGCCAGCCCCACGTCTGCCAGCATCCAGATCGCCCTCAGCCTCTTCTGGGTGCTTAGCAGAAAATACTGGGCGATTGGCAGAAAATAGCATACTACGACTGATAGCCATCATCATCAAGACAGTTCAATAGGACTGAGCATGTCTGCCCAGGTGCCCATGATTGACAGCCACTGCAGTACAATGACGACGGATACCAGTCGTAATATACCATCTTCTACCAAAAGGCAAGGGGCTGGTGCAATGCAGCCCTACGGCTGCCAGCCCCACGGCTACCAGTCATGCTGCACCGTCTACCGCCAAAAGGCAGTTAGCTGCTGCTGCTGTGTAGCAATGCAGTACCACGTCTGCCGGCACCCAGATGACATATGGTGACGGTGAGCTGAGCTGAGCGGGCTCCATGCTCGCCGTGGTATGTTGTCTGCACAGGTAACCCAGGTAAAAAGGCGCGAATCTATTGTCTGCCGGTGCTCTGACGGAGGGGGAGGGGCCTGACGACATGTACCCAGAACCCCCCGCGACACTGTTTTGCATCATTCAGGCATTGAGATCTCAACCCAGAATTCCAATGGGTGGCGGAGACTGCGGGAACTGTGGGATAGCTACCCATAGTGCAATGGTCCGGAAGTCGACGCTAGCCTCGGTACTGTGGACGCGGTCCGCCGACTAGAGCACTTAGAGCATTTTATGTGGGGACACACACAATCGGCTGTATACAACCGATTTCTATAAAACTGGCTTCTATAAATTCGACCTAATTTCGTAGTGTAGACATACCCTATGTGAGTTCAGTGTAAGCTTAAAAGTGTACAAAACTAAAAGTAGTTTTCATGGTGAAAATTTGTAAAGAAAATTATGGTGTAAAAGTAATAGGGAGCTATTAGTTTGCACAAGAACAGTCTCTACAAGTAGAATATTAGGAATATTATTTGGTTCTGTACTTTTTTCATGAAAACGTATCAATGGACATGTGTAATTTCCCCCAAGTTTAGTTTATTTAGTAAATGAAGCATTACAGTTAATATGATTTTGTACTGACAGTGAAATGTCTGTATACAAAGTTTTCCTGATAAAATTATGGTAGTGCCAGATGCCACTATTTATAATTTTACATATTCATAAACAATTAACCAATATAGAAAAAATAAAAAAAATTTGGATAAAAGGAAAGCATAAATGAGGCAGAAATATAATTTAAACTTCCTATTCATAAGAAAGATATAGCACAGTATTATTGTTTTATAAAAAAAAGAACACTTCTTCTTTTCAATGTTTCAGCATAGGTGGTTTTGCTTAATAACAAAATCCTATCTTTTTGTCAGTGCATATATTTTGACTAAATAAGGAGAGAAGCATAAGCCATTTTAACCACAATTTATTTGCACAGTTAAAGTAAAATGGTATTATAAAAAAATGAACCAGTCACACATACATATCTAACCCAAGATATATAACAAGGGATCGGTATCTCTTGTGGCAGAATTATACATGTTTTATTTTCAGCCTTCCAGGTGCAGCTTCTCTTTTCATTCACATAGAAAGTTTTGCTTTTTTATGAGACTGTTTAAAAGCCAAACTTAGAAATTATACAAATCATACAAATGTTCATTTATGCAAATAAGAATTTGTAGGCTTATGTCTGCTTATGTGTCATCTTAACTGCCTTAATACCTTGAGTAGAGGGAAGAAATCTCGACAACAGAAAGGCAAAACTTCATAGACTACTTAATAAGAATGAAAAAAGCATAAAGAAAAGTATTGGATTCTTTAAAGGGCCAAAACGGCTATTGTTTTTTTGTCGACTTCAGTGGAAGTTTTGATTGAGTAAGGAGTTCAGGATTTTACCCTGTATTTTCAAAGAACAGTAATTTGTTTTGACTTTACTACATATTACGGGGTGGCCAAACCGCGTCTCTTTTTCAGTTGAAGTGTGGCTCGTGGAGCTCCCTATGCCTCCACTCGGTTCTCCACCTACCAGACTGGGATGAAGGGAGCTCAGGGCTTCTGCCCTGAGGCAGACTGGTGGGACTAGGTGCTTCTGCCCTGCGGGGAAGAGTCTCTTAGGGATCCAGCCCTGCGGGGCGTGCTTGCTGGGGCTCTGGGCTTCATTAGGAGTGGGGTTGAAGCCCTGAGACCTGGCAGGCACGCCTGGCTCTTGAATTTCTGAAGATTATTGCATGCAGCTAGGAGAGTCAGCAAGTTTGGCCACCCCTGGCATAGTATATACTTAAGTGTATATACATGAAATGTGTTGGCATAATATCAGACATCAGGATTTGTTAGACAGTTTGTCCTTTGAGAAATTGTATTAAACCAAAGGGAAAACAAGAAAAAATGTATTTTAAGGTGTTTGTATTGTAAAGCACTTCAAAAGCCTCACAACACCTCTGTAAGGTAGGTGATTACTCATTTGAAGATGAGTATCCTGAAGCATAGAGGTTACATGTCTTTCACACAGTGAAGAAGGGGAAACAAGAGGTTGTGGCTCCCTGACATCTGCTGTAACCATGAGGAAATAATTTATGCAAAGAACAACTCCAGTTATCTCCAATGTCTGTCTTAGAGGACATGTAGATAATCAGAGTATGTGATACATGTAGTTTGACCTCTGTAAACATTTTGTATTCAGAGAATATAAACAAATTTTGTATAAATTAAAATTCAGATACTGGGAATTTATCTGTTCCCCTCATCTCAGCAGTATAAGGGTGTGTGGCTTCTAGTATTTGTATTCCCAGCAGCAATAACAAATTTGCACTAATCACTCACTGTTTGTGGAGGGTGCAACTACCATTAAAAGAGCAGCTTTGTTCTTTTTTGATCTTTTGGTTATAGTTCTAATATATGGAAAAAAATCAAAAACAAAGAGATACCATGCTACTCCTAAAATATTTGAGTTTCTCATAGTGTTGTGTGTAACGCGGGCCCCCTGGCTGGCTCTCCAGGGGTGAAAACATGAATATGGACAGACTCCTTGTCAAACACAAACAGTATCAGCAAGAAATCTGCTGGACCAGTAATAAAGTGAGCTTCCTGTATAGGACATTCAGTTCCTCTTGAAAAGTGATTTGTGAGAAAATCAGCTCTCTTTTTCAAAAAACATATATTTTTTGGCCCTTATGGTTGTGGAGAAAAACTTGAAAATACAGCTACAGTGCACTCTGAAGGCTCAAAAAGCAGAAGGCAAATAAAAAGAACCCCCAAAATATTTGTTAAAATATGATTTTAAAACCAACCATAGTTTTTTAAGATCCTGACTTGTGATATCTTTTTTAAAAAAAGATTTGTGAGTGGTAATACTAAAAGCTTCCCCCTGACAGAGCTGCTGCTCCTGTTTCACCACAGTAGGAATGAGGACAGCTCACACGCTATGAGTAGCCTTTTCTACATTGTGCTTCAGGGTTGTAGATTTAACAGATTTAAAATTTTTATTAAAGTTAACGTTTAAAATGAAATATACACGAGTTAAGAGGCAAGGTACTGTACATCTGGGGTCAGACTTGGGTTATGGGGGGTTACAGGTATCGTTTGCTATTACACAGCCGTAGTCCTTGCTCCAATTAAGCACAGTCAAGGGGGTGTTCTTTGTGACTCATTAAAGAACGGAAGTGCGGAGGGGCCCACTTCGAAGCTTATGTGGAGCACCTTGCAAAATGTGTCCATCCCTTTACACTGTGATTCAGAGGAGGTCACACTGGGGGGTGCGGGGTAGCCCGCACGATGTGCCCCTCCTAGATCTGTGTGACGAGCTGCCAGTGGCCGCATGCTAGAGGGTGCTCCATACCCTTGAGAATATGCCCTCCCATGGGCTGACCCCCTCCTTCCCACGTCACCCAGGAAGTGCCCATTCTGCTCGGACAGTCCGAGCTGGGGGGTGACTGTGCTAAGGCGTTCCCCAGAGCCCAACGCTCCCATTTCATTTTACCACCCCCCGCCGCTCACTTGCCCATGCTCATGTTCTGAACCCGACCCCCAGACTCACGAGGGATGACAATACGAGCCCGCCTCTGCCCCCACTAAAGATGGCGGACAAAATAGATCAGCCCTATATCGAATCCTCTCCGTGAAAGTGGAAAGACTTCGTCCCACTAGCCCAGCCTCTGCCCTAATCAAAGATGGCGTCTCGAGGAGCTGACCCAACCCAAGATGGCTGCCGACTGCCAACCAATCACGAGCCTCTGGGCTGCCGGCTCAGGCTAGGGTTGTGTGAGCTCCGGCCTCGCCTTAACCTCGCCGGCGGAGGGCGGGACTTCCTGTGGGAACCGGGCTGCCTGCGGGGGGTGTGGGAGAGCGTGAACACCAGATGGTCGATTCGTGAGCGTTCGCTCAGAAGAACCACGGGGCCGGCGGGAGGGGGACGGAGACCTGCCCGTCGCCCGACGGGGACCGAGCGGGGGGCAGCCCGGGCGGGGGATGGACGCAGAGAAGATGGATGAGAATGAATGGAAATACCACGGGGAAGGGAACAAGAGCCTCGTCGTCTCCCATAGCCAGGTACGGGGAGCCGGGACCCCTCCCCCGCTCGGGGGGCCTGGCCCCGGCTCGGGTTCCGCGCGGGGCTGGTAACGGCTGCCGGGGGTGGCGGCTTGGGCCGCTTCCCTGTCGCTGTTGCGCACGAGCTGCTCCGAGCCCCTCCGACACGCTAGGGGTCGGAGGGCGCAGGTCAGAGGCCATGGCCCCCGGGGACTGCTTAAAGGGATTACTGCTCAGCGGGCAGGGAAGCCGGGGGTGGGCCCTAGGGAAGTCCCAAGGCCTGTCGCCCCGTGGGGAGCGGGAGCAGCAAAGCTTACGAGTGTGTGTGTGTGGTGTGGGGGGGGGGGGATGTAAAGTCCTAGATAAATTACTCTCCGCACCTTCACCTGTAGAGGGGCAGCAAGAGGTGGGGGCTTCAGGGAATTTTACCCCTTTTTGTAGTGGCAGGCGGAGGTTTGTGTGGAAGGGGTGACGCTACAGGGAAATTGCATCCCCTCCCAATACACTCATCTGAGAAGGGGAGCTGTGGGATGAAATCCTAGGACAAGTCTCCCCTGCTGCCTCTCTTTCTCCCACAGATGTAGAGAACTAGGATTACTTTGGAAAAGTGATTTATTCCTTTGTTCTCATTCCTGCCTTTAAAATATTCCAAATTTTTCCACACACAACACCCCCCCAAGGTGGAGGGAGGGAGACTTTGCCTGGTGCTTTTTCTCATTTCCTGTACAGGTAGTTTTCCATTCTAATCATGTATCTAGGATCCCATCTCCTGGTTTTCTTCCCCCGGGTGGGGTGTGGTATGGAGTGGAACTCTGCCACAACTGTGGAAGGAGCTAGCACAGATTGTTTACCTGGCATTTAAACCTGCTACCTTCCTTAAAGTCTGCATCTCCTTTTAAGGGGGAAAAGGAAAAGGACCTGATGAGTAGTCATTTACTATGTTTTTGGAGGGGAGATGTGGGGGAAAGCACCAGGGAAAGTCTGTTACCTTTACACTGTGGGGGAGGGAGGGAGGGAGAAGGAATAAAGATGTGGAAAAACATTTTAAGGGGTGATAGAGGAGCACTAGGAATATCTCCCTCCCCCTCCTGTTCCCCCTCTCAACTAGAGAGAATTGAGTTTGTGGCTAAGGCAATGGACTGGGATTAAGGAGATTTGGGTTATGCATTTGGCTCTGTCATAGACTTCCTCTGTGAATACAAGCATGTCATTTAATCTCTGTGCCTCCGTTTTCCATCTGTAAAAAGGGAATAAATCCATACCTCGTGGAATTGTGAGAATAAATTCATTAACCTTTTATGCTCAGACGCTGGCGATGAACACCATGGAAAAACTTATAAATACGTGTGTGTATTCTGTACTGGATTAAAAAGGTGTGCAGTCATTTTACTGCTGCCAGGATATTATTACTCTTCTTCAGTTCTCTTTTGCTGTGCATTTTCATTTATTACAATTATTAGGCATCAGAACTTTATACTTGCTTTTAAGACAAGTATATTAGTGGTTCTGGCAAGGTTTATGTAGCTTGTATACTATTTCATTTGTAGCCTTGTATGCTAATTTCAGCATGGATATAATTGGCTGTTATTTTCCAAGATCTCTCTTATCTTCTGATACTGTTCATAGATTTAAAACAACCCTTTTTACTATTGGTAAGGCAGAGATGACCAAAGACAGGAGGCATTTGTGTAAGCATTTATGGTTTGAGTTGATAGTCCTTAAAACTTGCTCCAACCCGTATTTTTGCTGGTCCAGGACTGAATATATCAGGTTATAAACTTCAGACCGGTGCAATTGCTTTTTTCCTTGTAATGTACTAATCAGCTTAGCAATGAGAATTCAAAACCATACATAAAAATGTGCTAAGGCTATTGTGGCACCTATTTTTATTTTAGCTTGGAGACTTTTCTACTTTCTTCTGCCCCTTATGTTGAAAATTTTCATAAATAAGTTACTGAGAGGGTTGAATATAGATTTGCTCCTTACTTACAATGTTAAGGGTTTTTTTGTGTGTGCATTTCTTCAAGGTGCAATTTTAAAAATACCAATACAGCATTCATTAGTTGGATGGTGGGAATCTCAGAAACAGTGCTCCACTGTACTTAAGGGATTACTTATTCCAGGGCCATGATACATTTTAAACATGTAGAAAGTGTAGAATCCTACCTTAGATTCCATATAACTGTCAAATCTCTCTTCAGCACCACAAAAAAAGTTTGAGATGTTTGCAGTACAAATGGAAGGATGCATGTTGTTGCTCTAGTACAAACAGCATCAAGCCAATGAATCTTGCTTCTTATAGGTTTGTGTGTCACTTATGAACTATTTTAATTTTAAAAAGTTAGAACATATAAAGTACTGTTTAAATACTAGTTTAGTTTTGTTGTTGATAATCGTTAGTTGTCATTCTAATGGTCTGTCAGTCAGCCAGCCTAGGTGTGTGCTAATGGAACAGTTGCATATGCAAAGTAGTGACTTTGCATGTGTCACACTTTCTTGTATCTCAATTGTGCAACAGTTGTATCTATGCTTAAATGCAGTTCTTGCTTCGCAGTGGGTGATACGTGAATTAACCTAACTTGCGGCTGAAATGCTGCTAAAAAGTCCTTGTCTCTTAAACTTTTTAAACCTGAATGTTAGCATATGAGACATCTGTCTTGGAATCATTGTTTGGTTGCCCTAGAATACTTGACACATCACTCATTCGTAAGGAAGATTGCTTCCACTGGTGTGTGCACAATTGCACCTATGTTTGGATTAGACTTGCTTAAGGCAAACCTAATCACACTGTGGTCTTCTCCTGTGCAGTACCAGTGTGGGTAGGAATTGCAGGTATAGAAGGCCCTTCAGTGTGACTAGTCCCTTTATCTCACATTTCACCAATCACTCTTTAGGTAGTCCGTCTAGTATTTTTCCCAGGTGGTCTTTTGAAATCTCCCATAAGTTCCAAGCACTGTGCTGTGAACTGTGGAATACGTACCTAGAAGGCAATGCAGCTGCAACACGAATGTGGATGTCGAGAAACGTTTCATGAGACAGAGCAGGGTTAATGTGGGTACCTTGCACCATTGATATCCACACTGGTGCTATCCCATCAGTTCACTTGTCCTGTGGTTCGGTGCTTTAGAGGGCCTTAGCAAACTTGTTTTTCTACCTCACTCCCCCGACTGAGCCAGGAGAATGAGACTTGCAAGCAATTGCTGTAATAAAGGTTTTCTACATTGGAGAATGGTCTCCTTTTTGTGAGCCATGGATTTCTATTAAGGGGGGTGGCGTCTCACTTGTCAGAAGGGAGCTGCACATCTTTTGTATAGATTTGCATTTTTAACCAGTGTTTACCAGCAGAGATTCCTACACTAAAACTTGAGATTGCCTAACTTAGAAAATTGCTCTCTTCTTTAGAAATTCTGTATTTCAAACAGGGCTTGAAATAATGAGTGTTTTATATTTCTGCTGTAAAAAGAGAGCTTATGAATTCCCTTTCTTTCCCTCAGTATATAATCTAGTATGTATGCTCTTCCTTTGGTTTATTGGAACTGATAACTTCTGTTCATGTTTTTTGTGTGCATAGGTATACTCTGGTAACCCAATGTTTCATTTAAAATATAATTGTAAACAATTGGTTTGTGTTTCAAGGCACATGATGATTTAGAGTGGTCCAGAAAAAGAGGGATTTCTCTTACTAGCATGTTTTTGGGGCTTAATAGACCAAAGGAGTAATTATTTTGGGAATTGGGGAGAAACAGGATTTTTAAGTCCTGACATGCTTTGATCAGTGTGTCTTTGATACCACAATGATAGATGTATATTATGCAGAAAAAATACTTTGCCTTCAGTGTGGGGAAATCTTTTTTTTGTTTTGTTTTTGTTCTATGCTTATCTTGAAATCTCTCACTTCAGAGGAAAATATGCTTATGCTTTCTGGGGGTCTTGTTTGAGTTACATGTAAAGATTGTCATGCAACTACTTTTTCTATGTGAAATATATAATACGGTCATCAATATCTTTTATTATTTTAGGAATTAAAAGGTCTTCGCTGAGAGAACTGGACTGTTTGTCATTTTCATAATAAATGTGTACTCACTGGGACTGTCATTGTTGCTACTGGAGGTTGTGCTACCCTCAGGATCATATATTTAGAGTAGTGGGCTTTTTGCTGTATCTTTGGGCTAGTCTACGCTGGCAACACTAAAGCGCTGCCACGGCAGCGCTTTAACATGCCTTGTGTGGTCACGGTGTAGCGCTGGGAGACAACTCTCCTAGCGCTCTAAAAAAACCACCTCCACGAGGGGTGTAACTACCAGAACTGGTGGCGCGGCTCCCAGCGCTGGTGCACTGTCTACACTGGCACTTTACAGCGCTGAAACTTGCTGCGCTCAAGGGAGTGTTTTTTTCACACCCCTAAGCCAGAAAGTTGCAGCGCTGTAAATTGCCAGTGTAGACAAGCCCTAAGTTAGCTAGACACCTTAGTTTGATTTATGAATTAGATACAGCCTTTGCAGTTCAGTTTCCCATTTTTGGAGCACAGTGAATAATACTATTTATTAATTGCCATCTCACTGAGAAACTCAATTTTGCAGATTTTTGTGGCATTTGGGGCATTAAATTGTGAGTGGCTAGGAAGAACCTAAATGTCTACGTTTTGACTCTCCATGCCAACACCATTGTTTCACTGTATAATGAATTTAACAGTGGGGTTTAATGCCTTTAAGACTACAGGTCTCAGCATACAATACTCCATGTTCAGAGCAAATTTTCAACGTGGAGCATTGTATGCTGGAACTTGTCTTTATGTGGCATCTGTGATTCCATTTTCATGAGAATTCGGAGCAGCCCTCTGGTTCATGTCAAGTCATTAGAAGCCCTCAGATGGACAAAGTCTGGTTATGTCTGAGTTAGAACACTTTTCACAAATGCAAAGGCTTACAAAATAATAAAATAGCAGCTGCTATTAGGCATTTTTCTGTTGGCTTGAAAATCCTGGGGGCTTTGAATGTAATGTCAACAGTAGAGGTGGAATT